GGGGCCCATGTGCTGTGGAGACTCGAGGTGAGGACCAGAGGAGACTGAGGGTCCCCAGGGAGTGCACGTGCAGCCCTCCTGACAGCCCTGGATGACTGTGGGGTGTGGTGTCCAGATGTAATGCCACTGATCCCGCTGGGAGGGGAGAAGTGAGGGCCTGGGTCAGGTGCCCGGGTTCAGGTCAGCAGAGTGAAGGAACCCAGCTGTGCCAAGAGTCAAGGTAGAACCCTGAGGGGGGCTCTGGGGCCCCAGGACATCCAGGTCAACACTGCTCTCAGCCCTGGGAGACCACGGCAGGGTTGTAGGAATGAGCCCCCTACTCCCGCTTGCTTCTCAGGGGTCCTGGCTAGGGAGGGCCTGGTTCTAAGGGGAGCAAGGTCAGGGACAGAGGATGGTGCTCAGACCTGCTGAGAGTCAAAGTGAAGAGCAGAAGGAGAGTGGAGGAATGCCCAGGACATCATCTCATCTCTGGGAAGCCCTGGGTTTGGAGCCCTGGTGTCACGTCCACAGGCTTCCCTTTGCGGTCTCAGTGAGGTGATGGCCTTGGAGTGATGGCCCTGCAGCCGGTAAACACAAGGGGCATCCCTGGACCTGCCAGGGCTCAAGATGAGGACCTTGAGAGAGGAAACAGGGAATCCCTCCGGTCCCGGCACCTGCTGTCAGCCTGGGACGACTCTCACGGGGGCATGAGCTCTGGGTCTCAGGGACATTGGAGACTTGATATAAGGGGCGAAGCTTCAGAGATTGGAGGGGAGATTCTTAGTTTCTGAAGGAGTTTAGGTGAGGACCTTGAGGGAGGACTGAGGGGAGCCTGGACTCCAATCAGAGGAGACTTAAGAGAAGCCAGTCCCTGCTGTTGGTCCTTGACATCCCTGGGGTAGAATGAGTACAGGAGAACATGGTCAGACTTCCTGACATACAGGTCTCATACTATGGACACAGTGTGGGGGAGGAGTTCCTGATATCTGGGTCTCAGACTGAGACCTCACATGTGAGGTGGGGACTCAGGAAGATAATTTCCCAGGTCCTGCGGGGTGTCAAGTTGAGGATCCTAGGAGGGATTGGGGACCATGGACCCCAGTCAGAGGGCACCTCCGAGAAGCCCATCTCCGTTGTCAGTTCAGGGCGACAGTGGAATAGAATGAGTGAAACAGGCATGGTCTGATTTCCTGACATCGGTGTCTTCGAGAGATTGGGGTCCTGGTATAAGGGACGAGGCTTCAATTGGGGAGAGGCATGAATCCAGGTCCTGCCCGGGGCCAAGGTGAGGTGCCTGAGGAGAACTGAGGGGACCCTGGGGGAGGATTGACGGAACCCGAGAGATCCCTGCCCCTGAAGTCATACGTGGGAGCCCTTGAGGTGAGAAGAGCACACTAGGCCCATCTGCCTTCCTCACATGCAGGTCTCAGAGAGACTGGGGGCCTCATGAGAGAGGGAGGGCCTCAAAATGGAGGACAGGCAACCTAGATTCCCATCAGCAGACGAATGGATGAGGAAGCTGTGGTACATATACACCATGGAATATTACTCAGCCATTAAAAAGAATTCATTTGAATCAGTTCTAATGAGATGGATGAAACTGGAGCCCATTATACAGAGTGAAGTAAGCCAGAAAGATAAAGACCATTACAGTATACTAACACATATATATGGAATTTAGAAAGATGGTAACGATAACTCTATGTGCAAAACAGAAAAAGAGACTCCTATGTATAGAACAGACTTGTGGACTCTGGGAGAAGGCGAGGGTGGGATGTTTCAAGAGAACAGCATTGAAACACGTATATTATCTAGGGTGAAACAGTTCACCAGCCCAGGTTGGGTGCATGAGACAAGTGCTCGGGCCTGGTGCACTGGGAAGACCCAGAGGGATTGGGTGGAGAGGGAGGTGGGAGGGGGGACCGGGATGGGGAATACATGTAAAAAAAAAAAGATACACTATGGTTGTGATAAAAAAATAAATAAATAAATAAATAAATAAATTAAAAAAAAAAAAAAATGGAGGACAGGATAATCCTGCATCTTGCCTGGAGTCCAGCCTCCATGAGAGCAAGGAATGAGTCAGTTAGACCCTAACATGAGGAGGGATCCTTGCCTTTGGTGGGGGTCTTGGAGGCCACAGAGTGGGGTGAACGGGGTGAGCAGTTTCTTGACCTCTGGCTTAGGGACCTCGAGACCTGAGGTGATCAGGCAGAAGGCTGAGGCTTCAGGTCCACAGAGGGTGGGCTTCCCGGACCCCGAGGAAGGACTGAGCAGACCCCCACCCCTGTGGTTAGTGCTGGAAGGCCAGGCAGGATGTCAGGAGGAGCTGAGGGCCTACGGGAGGCCCTGAGCAGGTGTGGCCACATGTGGGGCTCATTAGCACTTTCTGTTCTTTTTCTGAGTTTCTATGAGGGAAGGGACCAGGTTGTGCCATGGGAAAGGTGAACATTAACAAGGGAACTCCAAGGGGACCTCCCACCACACAACTGTGGTGACCTCACAGAGTCCACCGCTTGTACCATCCGAGAAGGCTCAGGGCTATGCCACAGGATACTGTGGAGGTGCCCCCTCCATGTCTCTCACAGGAACCAGAAGGTGAAGGCAGAAGTCTGAGGACCATGTCCTGAGGTCAGAGTAGGGGAGGTCCAGCCAGTGCTAGGAGTCAAGCTAGGAGGGTGTCCTAAGTGTGCAACAGGGCTTCCCTTCCCAGAATAGAGGAGACCCCACAAGGACCTAACCCCCACACCTTGTCAGCCCCAGAAATCTTGGACTGTACTGTCTGCACCCTGGGAGCCACCTTACATCCTCCTTCAGGCAGCCAGGGAACTGGTCGCCCCAGAGGCATGCCCCTGTGAGGTCTGAGAGCACCCCTCAAGGGGAGACCTGTATTTCTCAGCCGGGGCCACTCACAACCCCTCTCTCCCCCAGGCCCGCCATCCCCATCAATTCCCCTGCCTCACTCCTGTCTGTGGTTTGATCCCAGGCATTGCGCTCGTGGTCAGGATGACTGAGCTGAGCAAGCCCAAGGAAGACCTTTAGGATCCAGGCGAGGCCCAGGGCCCGGTGAATGTGCAGCTCTTGGCGGCTGAGGCGGGGGAGGCTGCATCCACCTCAACCTCCTCGCTCCCAGTCTCCTCCTTGCCCCTGTGGACAGAGGATGAGACGGTTGGATGGCGTCACCGACTCAATGGAAATGGGTTTGGGTGGACTCCGGGAGTTGGTGATGGACAGGGAGGCCTGGCGTGCTGTGGTTCACAGGGTCGTAGAGTCGGACACGACTGAGCCACTGAACTGAACTGAACTGAACTGACACAAATTTTAAAAGGAGGTTTCTCTTAAAATACTGTGTTGCCATAATGACACCTGGTTCCACCTGAAGTTGACTATTCTCCAACCTTGAGTTAACCAATGCATTTTTCTTATGGAAATGCTTGTCTCAAGCTGTATTAATATACTATGCATTTACCCCAGACTCTAACGGCTCAGAACTGACTTGACAAACCATTATGTATTACTCAGACATTGTTCCCCTAACCTATGTAAACAAAACTATTTGTATGGTTCAAGTCAATCGCTTTATGGCCTGGGATGACTCCTCTGGTGCCAAGAGTATCCCAAAATACATCTTATGGATGAGAGGCCTGGTGCCATTCTGAGTTTTAAGACATTCCTTTCTTTCATTAACAGACTGCTAGTGACTATATAACATCCAGCTAAAAACTAGCAGGGGGGTACTCTTTCTGCCGCCTTCAGGTGCCTATGTCAGAAGCTTTCTCTATCTCGTTTATACTTTGATAAAACTTTATTACACAAAAGCTCTGAGCTATCAAGCCTTGTCTCTGGCCCTGGACTGAATTCTCCTCCAGAGGCCAAGAATCCCAGAGTCTTTTCATGGGTCAGCAACAACCTTTCAACCTGTTACTCCATCCTGATGGCGCTTTTTTCAGTCTTGGTCCCAGTAGAAAGCCCTGAGTCAAAGGAGGAGCAGGGAGAATCCTCAGATTATAAGTGTGCCCTCTGTGAGCAGGTCAAGAACAAGCCCAATCCCTGAGCTGCCAGATCCCTGGGGACACTCAAAAGCACTCTTTTGTAATCAAAATAGATTTATGGCTTTAATAAAGTAAAGCAAAACTCCACTGGAGATAAACAATCAAACAAGAACTGTGAGTCTGTGTTCTTTCTATCTGTCCATTGTATTCACACATGGCACAAGATGAGCCAGAAAAGGCTGGAAGCACACGCCCTATGCAGGCTTTGGTCCAGTTCCCACTGTCCCTTTTCATCTGAAACAGCAGCATTTCACAGATTCATCCAAGCATCTGAATCATGAGCCGAGTGCTGAGGCAAGCCCAGGACGGACGGGTCCCTGGGCCTTGCCTGCCACTCAGCAGACGGCCCAACTGGGCTCCCGACCTTTGTGGTGTCACCTTCCATGAGTCATGCACCCTGCAGCAGAAGAGCTCCTCAAGTGTCCACCAACGATGCCACAAGTTTCTGATCAGCAGCTGAGTGTCCCAGCTCCCTATCCAGGGGCCTCCCCAGGAGATTCACTGGAAAGCAGGGTCACGCCAGCCGCCAAGTGCCTTGCAAACACATTACCCCAAACCCAAAAACAAGTACAAGGTTTCCACAAGGTGAACACCAGCCCTAGTCACTCTGCCCTCACAGCTGTATTTAGGAGCCTCTCTTTTTGGGCATGAGGCGGCCAGACACTGCGTCCAGCACACATGCTTTGAGAGCCAAGGGACACTTTACAGTAGGACAAGGGTCACGTGCAATGATAAACAGTGGCCTGTTTCTGGGCCTGTAGGCCTCTCTGCCAGCCTATGCGCAGCCCTGCCCCGAGCCTTCCTCCATCACCCCCTGGTCATTATTCCAACATCCGGGACTTTGGACCAGAACAGAGAGGGGAAAACACTAACCGGTTTCCACAACACATTTCTCAACCACCCAGATCCAGCAGGGCCAAAACGACTGGCAATGCCATCAATTCATAAAGGTCAAAGTCAAAGAGACTCTCACTGATTCCAGAGCAGCATCACATGAGAGGAGTCCCTGCCCCCAGCCCCGCACCAAGTGGGCACCACAGCACAGGCCGATTCAGACAGAACCAGGTGGGCAAGTCCAGAGCGCAATGGGGACTGCATGGTATCAGCATGTTCTGGTCTCTCAGTCACTTTCCTCTCGAGAGCCCAGTCTGGACAGGCCTCCTGCCCAAAGAGGATCAGGTGCTGGAGGATATCCCCCTGGAAGATGTCCTTCTCGTCCCTTCCAGCGATGGGCTGCATCAGCCAGTGGGAGTTGGCAAGCGCAGGCATGTACTTCTGTTGCAGGTCGGGTAGCAGGCCTTGATTCTACAGCTCCTCCACCTAGTCAGGACCTAGGTTTTCTAGGCACAGCAAAATGCCCCCGATGACCACGAGATGTGTGCAAAGACAGGACACAGAATGAGAACAAGGTCATTCAAGGTTGCACCTGCTTGAGACTAAGACCATATCATGGAGGGAACCCGAGGCAAACTGGGTCCTCTGGCTGAGCATTTCAGATGGGCTCACTTCGGCAAAGGGAACTCACGGCGAGGCCAAGCGAGGGAGGGAGCAAAATGAAAGGGAGAGGCCCTGTGCTCCATGAATCCACCAGGCCACGGGCAGCTCTCAGTCTGCCCACTGCAGGCCACAGGGACAGAGCAGGAGGGCCCCAGTGGGGGCCAGCAGACATCAGGTCCCCAAGGAATTTACAGCAGACAGGTGTTGCTGTGGGGCCTCACCCCTGGGGAGTCAGGGGACTTGCTTAGGCCCTGCTTCAGGCAGTGTGTGTATGGAACTCAGGCTGGGTGCTTCACTGCCTCTCATGGTCTCTGCCGGGCACACAGACACACGTCAGGACACACATACACACAGACACACAGACAAGTGCCACGTACAGACCTGGACCTACCTCTACCTCAAGCACAAACGGGGACTGAGGCCCAGAGTGGTGATCAGGCACCTCGGGCAGCTGGCTCCCAGCCCAGGGACCCTTGCTCTCCCTCTAAAGAAACCTCAGCCGCCACGCCCAACCTCACAAACTAGTTCAACAGAAAACAAACAAGCACAATCCGGCCAAGATCCAGGGCAGTGCTGGGGGCCATGCGGGCAACAGGAGGCAGGGCATCACTTACCCACGGTCACTCCATGACTGAAATTTACCCCATCCCGCAGCAAGGCCTGGATCTGGGTGGGGCTCATCCCCAGCCTCTGTTCCAGCAGCTCCCGCCAGGCCACGTCCTCCCAGTCCCGGTGTGTCATGTGGACGGCCAGGGTATAGTGCTGGTGGCTGCGTAGCATGGGCTGCCCGGCATCTCCATCTCCAGGGTCTTGACACCGTTTTAAGACAAAACCCGCATAAGGCCATCAGAAGAGCAGACAGCCGAACTTCATCTCCCAGGCCTCCCATGTCTTCATGTGGCTGCAGAAACTCAAAACCACAAAGGTCAGGAGTGTGATTCAGTGGCCTGCAAGCTCACAGCCCTGGGCTGGACCTCAGCCCCACGAGCCCGAGCATCCTCCAAATCTGCTGACACAGAATGCATGGGTCAGAGAAGGCTGGCTCTTTCCATCTGTCTCCACACAGTCCACTGATAGCAGGGTGGCAACCCAGAGGACCCATCCATCCCATGCAGTCTGTGGGGAGGTCAGCAAGGAGGGTGGGACAGCAGGAGAAAGGCATGAGGTGAGTTCCAAGACAGAGGGCCCTGAAACCCTCAGGGCACTGAGGAGGGAGGGCAAGCCCCCTGGCTTCACAGCCCAGAGGCTAGGCTCTGGTCCTCTCCCGGCAGAGACAGCCATTGTCCTGGGCTTGGCTTCCCCCACTCCCTGCCACCACCCCACCTTTCAGCTCGGTGGCCCCATCATTGCCCACGTTCTGCAGATCCCCCATCTTAGCCCAGGGATGATGAGGGCAGATCTATGCTAACCAATGTGGACTCGGCCATGGGGCACCCTGGACCTCAACAGCCCTGCCAGGCGTCTTCCCCATAACTTTGGGAGCCACTTTCCACCCAGTCCTTCCCATACCGCTGCCTCCACTGGCAGCAGGTGCCCCGGGCCCTGCCCAGAGCCTAGAGAAAGAACAAAGAAGAGCAGGAACTACTGGGATGGGTGCACTCCATGTCATCACCAGGGCCTAGGATGGCTTCATGCAGGGATCACAGAATTCAGACTTCAAATAATCCACTAGGTTATCATCGCCTCGTTCGACGGCTGAGGAGGCACAGAGGCATAGATACATAGCCCATGACTGCAGGGGACTTGAACACATGCACCACCATTCTCACTTCTTTCCCTATACCTGGGGGGGGGGGGGGTCCCTGCTCACTGGATGGGGGTTGAGGCAGAGGAGCAGAGCTGCGAGTCAACATCAGCAGGGTCTCAGCACCTTGCAAGGGGCCTCTGTTTCCACATGGCTGTGAAGATGGGGACAAGTTCCCAGGGGCACCCCGCTCAGGGCCTTCTGGACCTGTCCCTCCCCGAGCACAGCAGAACCACAGTTCTCACAGGCCCATGAGGCCCTACGTGATCTAGCTCCTACCCTGGTGGCCTGCTCTCCTCGACCCTGGATTCACTCCCAGGAGCCACAAAGGCCATCTTTCCATCCTTGGAACATTCCAGTGTATTCCTTCTTCAGAGCCTTTGTAGGGTGTGAGGACTCACATCATGTACCCTCAGAGTCAGGTGCTGGAGTCCCAATCCAAAGTACCTTGGCGTGACCTTACAGACAAAGGAAAGTTCTTCACAGAGCTGATGGAGTTCAAGTGAGCACATTAAGGATGGACCCTCCTCTAACAGTACAGCTGTCCCCATATGAAGGGCACTTTTAAAGAGAGATAGGCACACGGGGAGAACTGGGGTGAAGAGGAAGGCAGATCTCTCCAAGCCCAGACACACCCACCAAGGCCAGCAATGCCCTGGAAGAGATGGAGGAGAGATGGGAGAGACGCTCCACAGCCCTCATGAGAGCCAATGTCAGTCAACACCTCGACCTCCGCTGCCGGGCCTCCTGAACCAACATGGATCCTAGTATGAGCCACCCAGTGTGATCCGGATGTGACTGCTGGCAAATGAAGCCAGAGGGTCAGCCCTGTCCGGACATCTCTCCTCAGGGGCAAGTGGGGAGTGGGGGGATGGCTTCTCCACTCCCAGCACCTCGGGCACACTCTTCCACGTCTGCACATCCTCATGTGTCTCTTTACACCTGCAAGTGTCAGGGGTCCCACAAGTTACTGATGCTTCCTTCTTGATGGAAGGGAAGGGAAAACTCATTCTGCCAATACAGCCACTCGACATGACAACACACTCATTGAAAAACCATGCAGGAGGTGGCCCAGGGCACATGGCACACACCCGAGGTGCTGACACACACCAGCAAATGGCCTTCCACAAAGGATTCCCCTGTTTCCATTCCACCAACCACAGGCAAGGGTGTCATGGCCTCATGCACTGGCTGGCCCTGAGCATCATCATTCGGTTGAACGTTTGCCCACCTGCTGGGTGACAAAGGGTCACACTCTTCACTGGATCTGGCTTGGCTACAAAGGACCTGGCTGGCCCTGGGGCTTGGCCATTGCTGTGTCTTCTACTGGGGTATGTGACTAGATCCCAGGCTTGCCCAGTGGCCACCATTCAGTTTCTCAGCCAACCCAACCCCTTCCTCCTGAGAGCCTCCAAATCTCACCTGTGTGGGTGGAATCCCTGAGCAAGAAGTGGCTGCAAGCACTCCTACAGCCTGAAGCAGTGGGTGCCTGCTTGGTGGCCAGAGGAGAAAACACTCTTCTGCCTGCTTGACTGGGCATCTTCACCTGCACGAGGATCAGAGGAACAGGGAGAAAGTCACCAGTGACAATACAGCAGTCTTGGACAACAGCTACTATGGTCTTCTCCTTGGCAGGGGCCTCAAGCCACGGGGTCCCAGGAGGGCCCAACTGATGAGAAACACACGAGCAGGTTCCCTCAGGGCGGGTTCTGCTCATCACAGCAGCTGGCCTGTCCTCATGTGGCTGGGACAGGGACCCCACGATGACTCAGTCCATAGCACATAAGCCCATCTCCCAGGAGTGATGGTGATTTATAGCCCAGGAGACCCTGCAATACAGGAGAAAACAACTGCTCCCCTCACACTGCCACTCTGGAAAGAGCCGGGGGCCGCCACAGTCAGTGGGCTGCCCTCCATGGACTCGTGGTTGGGCCCCACCAGAAGGGGAACTGGGCACAAGCAGCTGAGTCCTGCAGGGTCAGGCTTGGGTCGGGACGACTCTCAGGGGGAGGGTGGGGCTTGTGTGAGGTCATAGTCCAGGGGCAGGGTAGGAGGCTGGAGGGCATGTCTGCTGGCATCTTCACATGTGGCCCAGGGCATCACTGGGATGCACACGTGGAAAGAAAGCGGGAGGGGACTGTGGCCGTGGAGGGGGCCAGAAGGTCTGCCTCGGCCCCCTGGCAAGCACTCCTTGTCCCAGAGCCTGGAAACCCCCGCCTGGAGGTATCATCTGCACATGAGGCAGGTTCCGCCTTCCTGCAAGCAGAGCGAGTCACAATCGCTTTGGGATGGCTGGGCTCTGGCCACCAGGCAGGACAGTGATCTGCCACTGGGACTGAGACAGCTGACAGCACTGGCTGACCTCAGTTGCATCGTGCCCACAAACACTGACGCCATTCATTTCCAGTGTGTATGGCTTCCTTTACTCATGTAGGCACGCAGGTACGTAGGCACACAGGCACGCAGGCACGCAGTTACATAGACATGCACGTAGAAAAAAGGTGCATCCCCTCACTGGCCCTGTCTGCTAGGAGACAAACTAAGATCCACCAAGTTCTGAGGCACCTGGAAGGTCAGACAGGGAGGAGCCTCGTGACCAGGGACCTGGAGTGGGACCCGGAGGGAGGAGGACCAGGAAGTGAGCAGCCGAGTGGAAGAGAGGGGAGGAGGTGAGAGGAGCAGTGTGGGAGGAAGAGTGTGGGAATGTCTTGGGTGAGGTGGAGTTTCTGGAGAAATACTTGGGGCTGGGGTGGGGAGGGATGGAGCAGAGCTGGATTGGGAAGGAAAGGGGCTGGGGCTGGGCTGGGGTGGGACTGGGGTGAGGCTCCTGCGGGGCTGTGGGTGGGGTGGAGCCATCAGAGGCAGGGCGTGGCTGAAAAGATGGAGCTGTTTGCCTGGGAAACCCACGGAGAGTGGGCCTGTCCAGCTTCATGGCAGAGGGCAGACTGTGCCCTTTTGAGTCCTTGCCATAGGTGTCCAGTCTGCGAGAATCGGTGAGAGTCAAAGCGACCATGACCCAGTGTCTTCAGTAACTGCATCTGAACTTCAGAGTGGACCCCAGGGGCCAGGGAAGCGGAGAGAGGCACGACCTCTGGGCAGAGTTCCCCATCGCTGGGCTGAGGCTGGCTCCCCTCCAAGCCACCCTGGGACTGCTGGCCCGATGCTGAGCAACAGTCTATCTGTTTTTTTGCAGAGGCGAAAGAAAATCCTCAATGTGTTTCCTGCTGCGCCTGGGACCTGAGATGTCTCAGAGAAAGGCAGCTTTGCCTTCAGAACTGTTTCCTGAACTCTTCCTCTCGTCTGGAGGCTCAGCTCACCCAGGGCAACCATCTGACTCTGTTCCTATCCACCGCTCTGCCTGCTGTGTCCCTGCCTCCCAAGTGCCTGATCACAGTAAATGCTCCTCCTCCTGTCCCCACTGCTACTAGCTGAATTCAGGCCTCATGGGTCGGGGTGGTGCTGTCAGCCTAGGCCCCCCACCAGCCTGGAAACCTGTCTCTCCATCTCCAGCTGGTGTTGTACACACCATTGATTCTGTGTCACACTGCATGTACATCTGTCCTCAACCCCGGATGGAAACCACAGTTGAGCCCTCTCCTCTTTAAGCCCCAACCTGACCGTGGTGCCCTGGGGGGCTCCCTGTGGTCCCAGGTCTCCTTCCTCATCACCCAGCACTCTGGGTGGCTGTGCTGGCCCTGGGCTCTGTGCAGAGCACATCCAGGACCCCACAGTTCAGCTCGTGCAGTTCCTGCCCCTAGACCGCTGCCTCCTCCTCTTGTCCTGACAACCCTCTGTCCTCCCAGGCACAACCATAACATACCTTTTCCATCTGCCCTAGTGTCCCTTGCTCTCATCTGGTAGTTCTGGGTCGCCCTGCATCTTCCTGCTGATGCCTTTGCCCCGCTCTTCCACCCAGGCTGTGACTGCTGTGCACGAGTCTGGACCCCCGAGGGTCACCGAGTCCCTGGAAGGCAGGGTCAGTATCTCAATGGTTCCCGTTAGCTGGGCGCCCATGCAACTGCTGCTGTGGGAATGTTGAGTCCGAGCAGTGTTTTCCCTTCTAGCATGCAGCCTCCTCTCTCCTTGCAGAAGCCTCCCAGCCACGAGTTGAGGGGCAGAGGCTGCCTCCTGGATTTGAGGCCTCAGTACTGCAGGGACCCAAGCGATCACCACACCCAACTCCCTCATGCTGGTGCCCTCTTCCTTGCCCCAAGAGTGGTTATCAGCTACCTCCATATACCCCAAAACTTGCTGGTAGTGGTTTCAGATCATAAGGGAGGGTCCTGTGAATGGTAGGTGAGCTGCTGCTGTTCTCCCCTCATCCTGGCTATGAACAAGACCTTGCCCACTGAACTGGACACCTATGATGTGTGGCTGCTGATGGGGGCAGCTGTGAGGACCTAATCTGTGGCGTTTCTCTGCACCTGTCCCTTTCCAGCTGCTGGCGCCAGCTCTCCTCACGTGCCAAGATGTGCAGACTGAGCCCCAGGGAGTGCTGCCTCCCACCCCATCTGGGTCTCTGAGGCTTGGTGAGGGTTCCACTTTGCTCCTGCTCTGCATTTGCGGCAGCACTGACCTGAGAGTGCTCGATCCAGATTCTCGGTTTCCCTCGTGTCCTCCTTGGACGATGTGGTTTCCTCTCCGAAATGCCTGTTGCCCATTTCTCTGCTGAGCTGTGTGTCCTTTCTGTGCCGAGTTGTGGGCACATCTTTTGGGCGCTCATCCCACCCTGGTGTTTGTATTGCAGATTTGTCCTCTTCTGTTTGCAGGCTAGCAATGGACTCAGTATTTGCCTAGTGTCTCAGAGCCATAAGTGCCCCACAGGTCAGCATGTGTCCATCATGCCCTCCCAATGGGGGTCGCCATCCACCTCCAGGCTTGGCACCTTGGGCGAGCAGTCCCCAAGGAGACACTGCCCTGGTGTCCAGCACTCTGCCCGTGAGAGAGGGGTCCTTCACATCCGTGTTAGTCCCTCGGTCCCTGCCTAGCTTTGGTTCTGGGTCTTGGACTCTCACATGCAGGACAAGCCCAGGGGCAGCTGTGTAGCTCCGGGAGGTCAGCCAGACCTACTTTCCCTCTGTCCCCAGGGCAGCTCCCGTTGACCACAGCCCTTTCCATACAGGCCAGATGGAGGGGCCAGCCTGAGAACCAGAAGCATTTCTGATTTAATCTCAGTTCCACTGCAGTTCTTTGAGAAGACGTGGCACACATGGGACCTGCGGACACAGGTGGCCATTCTGCTGCCGCTACTTGGGGTACTTATTGCCCAGGGGATGGGGCACCACCCAGGCTGGCTTGGGGAGCTTTTGTAAGCCTCTGGTGCTGCCCTGCTCGCATTCACATCACAGGCCTTTATATCACGTTTGACCCGGGGGTGTGAGGTGCTGGTTTGCACGTGTCCATCACTTCCAAGCTCTGGGGTCTACATGTTCTTCACTGTCCTCCATCTGGGCAGGTTGGCCACGACCCAGGTGCCACACCCCCCAGCACTGGAGGGGGCTTCCAGACACCATGCTGAGGTGCACAGAGCAAATCCAGCTATTTAGTTTTCGAGAACGAGGAGCAGGAAGGACAAACTGGAGTGCACATTGCCATCCCATACCAATGGTGAGAGGACTTCAGTGAGGGGACTCTTGTACTCTGGGTGGGAGCCCCATTGGTTATCCTTTGAGTACCTGTGTGCCCACTGTGGTGACTTGGCCAAGCAGAGTGGGTGTGAGGGGTCAGGAGCAGAGGATGCCCATGATTTGCCACCAGAGGTGAGAAGGTTCCCCAGTTCATGAGTGGGGCGTGTATCCCCCCTCTTTTTCTGTGTTTCTCTTTCACCCACCTGCGTTCACACAAAGTTTCCATTTGGCCTTACCATCTTTCCCTCACATCACATGTTCCCCCAGGTTCTGAAGGACTCCTCGACAGACGTCTCACTAAGCCCTGAACCTGGCTCTGGGGAATAGTGCATTCTAAGCCTCAGGCCCTCCCAGCTCAACCAACTGACGAATCCTCGGGACTGGCCCCATGTCTCTTGACCGCTGAGCCCCTCTGCCCAGGAAGCCCAGCCCAGGGGGTCGTCCCAAAGGGGCCACAGAGTCAGAGTTAACCATGTCTCTCACATTGCTGTCAAGTTGACCCTGTGTCTGGCAACCTCCATTTCTCTGGTCGTCCCACCTCCTGTGTGGGTTCACCATCTCAGAGCCCGAGGTCCCTTTGGGAGAGCCTAGGGTTGTGCCCATGTCTGTTTGCTGTGGTGCAGTAGCGTCCTTCATCCAGAGACCTGCCCCATCCCTGCCTCAGTTCCAGACCTAAGAACTGGCTCAGGGGCCAAACATGGGTGAGGTATTTTGACCTGTTTACCGGGGTGGCTGCCCTTGTCCTCAGTGTCGTTCTGGACTGTACCTTGGCTGGTTGCCTACCTATCAAGGCTCTGGGAGCCCGCGTTGTATGGACCACCTTCCCTGCTCTGTGAGTCTGGCCTCCTGGGAGGCAGCAGCCCTCATCATGGTCCCTGGCTCCTGGCTGCTCAGTGCAACCCCACGACCTCTGCTGCAGTCTCTGCTTGGCGGCCGGGCAGTAGGTGGCCAGTTCTTCCCATGCTTCCTTGTTCTCGTCCTGGTAGTGCTGTGGGCCCTGCCACAGATCGAGGCGGCCAGTTCCCCTGCTTCCTGGGATGGAGGGCACCTGTGATGGAGGCCTCTGGTCCAGTTTGCTCCCTTGAGGGTGGGGGGCACCAGCTCTTTATGGGGTGGGGGAGGTGGGCTGCTGCCGCAGGCTCAGAAATTCAGAGATGTCTGGGATGTCCCAGTCTTCTGGGGCTTGCCTTCCAGTCTCCCTGACCTTTGTGTCACTGATGCATTTTTTCCTGAGAGGACATCCGATGCCAGTGGGTCAGTCCTGCCTTGGCAGAACATTCAGTGTGTTTGAGGTTCAGCCACTCCTGTCAAATCCTGGGCCAATGTTTAACCCTGCCTGAAGCTTTGTCAGCTACTGGGGAGACCCTGCCCCCTCCCTTGGTTCTCACTGCTCTTCATCCTAAGCTGGTCAGCTCCCTGCAGACAGCAAAGCAAAGAAGTCACTTTCCTCTATTCCCCCCCTCCACGTTCCACACACCTAGATCTTCTCACTTGCCAGGGAATTCCTCTCCCCTTGCCAGCCCAGCACAAGTTCTAGTAGCTGGGCTGTGACCTTGAGCCCAGGGCGGAGTACACACTGGCTACCCCCAGGATGGGTCCTCATAACCCATGGGGTAGGGGATGTCAACCCCCTACCAAGGCCCCATTGTGGCACTTCTCCTCAGACCACTCCAGAGCCAGCCTTCTTGGGATGGTCCTTTGTGAGGCTGTTCCCGGGGGTGGAGAGGGTAAGGAGTTGGTGCAAGAGGCTGGCTGGGGACTTACCACCAAGGGGACAGGGAGCAGACATGGCCGGGCAGGGCATCCATCACCGGCGATGTTGACCTGACAGTTCCTGCCAGCCCGTCGGGAGGTGCAGAGCACAGACAGGCATTGAAGTGTCCACAGTGGGCCCTGATGGTAGGGCGTGCAGGGCGTTGTGTGTCCATTCACACCTGCATCACTCAGGGCTGGGGATGGGGAGGCTGGAGTGCATCTTGCAGGCAGACCTGTAAAGCACAGAGCCTGAAATGAGGCAGAGGTTGGGGAGCATGAAGCCTGGGGAACCAATCCCTGAGTCACATCGAGGGGCCATGGAGGGCTTTTCAGATGGGAAGGCCGTCTGGGCTGGGTCTTGTAGTGAAGAGGGTCTCCTTGGCAGGGAAATGGGGAAAGGGCCCCCAGAAGGGTCAGACCCATGGAGGGAACAGAGCCCGGGTGTGTAGCTGAAGCAATTGAGCTTGTGGACGGTCCCCAGCCTTACACTATCTGTATAGGTTCCCTGAGGGGTTTTCGGCAAAGGATTTCGAGAGCCTTTGATGCTCTGTGAAGTTTCATCCATTGCCTGCAGAGGCAAGGCTGCCTGCAGGCATGTGCAGCAGCCAGGTAGGCTGGGCAGGCTCTGGTCCTCCACAGAAGTGGTGTGGAAGGAAGCAGACACTCTGCTCTGCCATCTCAAACCTGGATTGGTCCCCAGCACCACCACTGCTGGAGCGTGAGTCTCAGCAAATCACTCCCTCTCTGAGTCTCCGTTTCTTTATCTGAAGGATGAGCACAGTGTGAAATGTCCCCATTAGGAATAGTCCTATTTGCCGGTGTATCTGATGAGAGTGAGGCAGTCTGGAATGATTCACACAAAAGCAGTCTGTAAACCAGAAAGCACCTACTCTGAATAGTAGTTGAAGAGGCATCTCTTGCCAAGAGAGGTTTCCCCAGAATGAGTGGGAATGCAGGCATGTACCTTGAAGCCTGCAGCTGGGAGACAAGGAGATAGTGAAGAGCCTCCAATTAGGAAAAGAGGAGAACATGGACACCATTGGCCCCCAGTGCTAAATGTTCTATAGGATGTGGCCTGGGTTGGGTCTTGAGGGCCATCGGCGGATTTTGAACAAAGATGTACATAGTGGCACCTGAGACAGAAGGCAGTGTGAGCTGAGTCAAACTGCCAGGCTTTGTGAACTGGGGGGCTGTAGCAGGACCAGGAATCCATGAAGCTGGGGGCCTCTTCCCTGAACTGTGCCGGAGACAGCATCAGGCTACTGCCTCAGGTCCACCATCTGCTTTCCACCAGTCCATCACCCAGAACACTTCAGCAGCCAAGTGCTTTCACCAGCTTGACCTAAACACTTTTGGTAGTAAAACCAAAAATGGATGATACCAATAAGCTATTTATAGTATCCCGAATTTTCCCTACGTAGCTCACTTGGTATTAAGATTCACATGGTTCACTGCAGCCACGTCAGTGTGTTTGCCAGCCCCTGCCTGGGTGTTGATGATCTCTGTGTCCCCGTCAATGATTTCTAAATCCATAAACTCTTGTGCCCCCCAAGGCTTTTGGACAAAGCATTGGGAACAAGTGATCCTAGCCCCAGTAAGAGCCAACACTTTCAGAGGACTGACAGAGGCCCAGGGGTACTGGGTGTGTTACCTTCCTCCAGCCTTCTGCCTAGAGGATGCCCTTCCTGGGACAGGCAGGACCAAGGGCCAGCCCCAGGTCAACCTAGATAACTACACACCCCACCATCTGCCAAACAGCCTCAGTATGTGGTATCTTTTGGTACCAACCATGGTCTTCTGTGGTAGAAATGGGAAGACCTAGAGCAAAAAAGAAGGACCCTTGGCAAGCACGTGTAGTCACTAGTTTGTAATGCTGAAAACCTGTCCACTGTCTTGTTTCAGGAATCCGGAGCCCTGTGTGGTCTCCCAGTACAGCCCCAGAAAACCTGGGTCCATGCACACAATTTTGGGGTGTTAACGTGATTCAGGAGTCTCTGGTTTTGAGATACAAGCAATGACACCGGAAGCTCAGGAGCATTAGGCTCACCTGGTTGACTTGCTTTCATAGCACACTTTTCAAGTGTCGATAGGAAATGCATGTAGAGGAGGTGAGCGGAAAGGGCACTGTGCTGCTGCTGGTGCTACTTGCCCTGCTGGGCTGCCTTCTCTGTCTCGGGGAAACCTGGGTGTTAACTTTGGACAGGATGGAAAGCTGCCTTCAGGGAGTGGCACCTAGGCCTCACTTGCTCCATGCTTGGTAACTAATCATTTTCTTAGGATTAACCTGGACCCTAAATTGCAAAGGCCAGGTTTTTCCTGAGCAAAAGTGTGGTTTCCGGTCAGCCCATGATCTGGAAGCTGCCTCTTGCTTGTCCACCCCACCAGCTTCTGTGCCCCAGTGACCCTCCAGGTACCCAGGTTACCCATGAGGGTGTGTGGCCATCAGCTACACAGTGCAGGGCTGAGCAGCCCAGATCAGTGTCCTTGCCTGGGTTTGTCCTTGGCATTGTGGCGTCATGGCTCATAGGCCAGGGTTTTAGATCTTGAGCCAGTGATGACCCTTTTCCAGCCTCAGTTTTCACATCTGTATGCTGGGTGTAGTAGCAGTACACAGTCACTAGGATACCAGGGAGGGCTCCATGTGTTGAAAGGCTGGGATAAATTTGGTGCACAAAGATGTTATGGGGAGGGGGACCAGGGAAATTATGCTGGGGTCTTTCATCTGCTTTTGGGACCTACCTTTGGCTGACAAGGGCAGAAAAGTGTGCTCCATGCCACCTGGTCGCCAGCCTGCTATCGTGTCCCTCTGGGGACCTGGGCACTGTTTTTGAGCAGCTTGCTGTTGACATAGCAACATTGCCAGGAGAAATATCAATTACCTCAGATATGCAGATGACACAACCTTTTTGACCGAAAGCAAAGAGGAGCTGAAGAGCATCTTGGTGAAAGTAAAAGATGGGGATGAAAAAGCTGGCTAAAGACTCAACATTCAAAAAATTAAGATCGTGGCATCTGGTCCCATCACTTCAGGGCAAATAGATGGGGAAACAATGGAAACAGTGAGAGATTTTATTTTCTTGGACTCCAAAATCACTGCAGATGGTGACTGCAGCCATGAAATGAAAAGACACTTGCTCCTCAGAAGAAAAGCTATGACCTAATTAAACTACATAGTAAAAAACAGAGATATTACTTTGCTGACATAGATCTGTCTAGTCAAAGTTATGATTTTGCCATAAAGAAGGCTGAAGGCCAAAGAACAGATGCTTTTGAATTGTAGTGTTGGAGAAGACTCTTGAGAGTCCCTTGGATTCCAAGGAGATCCAACCACTCAATCCTAAAAGAAATCAGTTCCAATCATTCATTGTAAGGACTGATGTTGAAGCTGAAACTCCAATACTTTGGAACCTGATGCAAAGAACTGACTCATTGGGGGAAAAAAAACCCCTGATGATGGGAAAGAGTGAATGGAGGAGGAGATGGGGATGACAGAGGATGAGATGCTTGGATGGCATCACCGACTCGATGGACACGAGTTTGACCAAGCCCTGGGAGTTGGTGATGGACAGGGAAGCCTGGCGTTCTGCAGTCCATGGGGTCACAAAGAATTGGACACGACTGAGCAACTGAACTCAACTGATGGGTCCAGATGCTGTGCTAAGCAAATCACACATACTGAGTGGTCGCTATAGATTTGAGTATACCATTACACCCACTTAACAGTTGAGAAAGCTAAGTTAACAGGTAGTCAAATTGTAGTGACAAGATTTGAGCAAAGAACCTGTTGACCTTTTTAGTCCTCTGACTCACCATGAGACTCAGCCAAGTGACAGCGTCCCTGTTGCTCCAGGGCTCTGGCCGGTAGCTTGAAGAAGTGAGTCAGCGGGGGAAAACCACAGGGAGTGAGGGGGCTAGAACACACAGAGAGAGCATGATCTAGCCCAGGAGGAGTTGCCACTCACAATAGGCGGGTGTGCAGGCCAGGTGCCAGGTCTTTTGATTAGCCCAGAATGGCCAAAAAACCTGAAGTTCAGTAAGAGATCTGGTTTTGGAATGTTGGCTTCCTCATTTTATAAAGGCACTCTCCATACCAACTGCCTACACCTGCCACTCACACAGAGCCTACAGGTGGCCCTCTCCTTCCTCCACTGCACTGGCTCCACACAGTGTGCCCCTTGCCAGGGGTTTGCTCTCAGACGTTGATCTTCTGTCTGAAAGTGCTCCCACCTGGGCTCAAACTGTCTGCTCAGCTTCGGGAACTCATGCTGTTAAAGAATGGAGAAAGATTTGGGGAACCCGCCTGCTTCCACGTCTCTTGTGGTTTA